CATTACTTGTGGACTTCACACTAACATTGCCCAGAGACCGTATGCTCAGACCATAGACCAGCATTGCCCATTGACTAACATTGCCCATAGACTTCAGACTAACATTGCCCATAGACTTCAGACTAACATTGCCCAAAGACTTCAGACTAACATTGACCATAGACTTCAGACTAACATTGCCCATAGACTTCAGACTAACATTGCCCATAGACTTCAGACTAACATTGCCAATAGACTTCAGACTAACATTGCCAATAGACTTCAGACTAACATTGCCCATAGACTTCAGACTAACATTGCCCATAGACTTCAGACTAACATTGCCCATAGACTTCAGACTAACATTGCCCATAGACTTCAGACTAACATTGCCCATAGACTTCAGACTAACATTGCCCATAGACTTCAGACTAACATTGCCCATAGACTTCAGACTAACATTGCCCATAGACTTCAGACTAACATTGCCCATAGACTTCAGACTAACATTGCCCATAGACTTCAGACTAACATTGCCCGTAGACTTCAGACTAACATTGCCCGTAGACTTCAGACTAACATTGCCCGTAGACTTCAGACTAACATTGCCCGTAGACTTCAGACTAACATTGCCCATAGACTTCAGACTAACATTGCCCATAGACTTCAGACTAACATTGCCCGTAGACTTCAGACTAACATTGCCCATAGACTTCAGACTAACATTGCCCATAGACTTCAGACTAACATTGCCCATAGACTTCAGACTAACATTGCCCATAGACTTCAGACTAACAGTGCCCATAGACTTCAGACTAACAGTGCCCATAGACTTCAGACTAACATTGCCCATAGACTTCAGACTAACATTGCCCATAGACTTCAGACTAACATTGCCCATAGACTTCAGACTAACATTGCCCATAGACTTCAGACTAACATTGCCCATAGACTTCAGACTAACATTGCCCGTAGACTTCAGACTAACATTGCCCGTAGACTTCAGACTAACATTGCCAATAGACTTCAGACTAACATTGCCCATAGACTTCAGACTAACATTGCCCATAGACTTCAGACTAACATTGCCCATAGACTTCAGACTAACATTGCCCGTAGACTTCAGACTAACATTGCCCATAGACTTCAGACTAACATTGCCCATAGACTTCAGACTAACATTGCCCATAGACTTCAGACTAACATTGCCCGTAGACTTCAGACTAACATTGCCCATAGACTTCAGACTAACATTGCCCGTAGACTTCAGACTAACATTGCCCGTAGACTTCAGACTAACATTGCCCGTAGACTTCAGACTAACATTGCCCGTAGACTTCAGACTAACATTGCCCATAGACTTCAGACTAACATTGCCCATAGACTTCAGACTAACATTGCCCATAGACTTCAGACTAACACTGCCCATAGTCTTCAGACTAACATTGCCCATAGACTTCAGACTAACATTGCCCGTAGACTTCAGACTAACATTGCCCATAGACTAACATTGCCCATTGACTAACATTGCTCAGACTTCAGACTAACAGTGCCCATAGACTTCAGACTACCATTGCCCATAGACTAACAATGCTCATAGACTTCAGACTAACATTGCCCATAGACTTCAGACTAACATTGCCCATAGACTAACATTGCCCATAGACTTCAGACTAACATTGCCCATAGACTTCAGACTAACATTGCCCATAGACTAACAATGCTCATAGACTTCAGACTAACATTGCCCATAGACTAACATTGCCCATAGACTTCAGACTAACATTGCTCATAGACTTCAGACTAACATTGCTCATAGATGTCAGACTAACATTACTCATAGACTTCAGACTAACATTGCCCATAGACTAACATTGCCCATAGACTTCAGACTAACATTGCCCATAGACAAACATTGCCCATAGACTTCAGACTAACATTGCCCATAGACTAACAATGCTCATAGACTTCAGACTAACATTGCCCATAGACTAACATTGCCCATAGACTTCAGACTAACATTGCCCATAGACAAACATTGCCCATAGACTTCAGACTAACATTGCCCATAGACTAACAATGCTCATAGACTTCAGACTAACATTGCCCATAGACTAACATTGCTCATAGACGTCAGACTAACATTGCCCATAGACTAACATTGCTCATAGATCTTCTTTGGTTCTTTCGGTAATGTCACGTAGAATGAGGATAAAATAATAAAATAACACAATAAAATGCTGACGACGTTTTGGCCACAACGCAAGCGGCCTTCTTCAGGTGAAAGGAACAGACCTGTCGGGACGACAGAGCTTCAATGAACGCTGTTAAGATTCGTAGCGACTTTTAAGTTGATTAACATTGTGTTATTTTATAAATTTATTATTTTATTCTCATTCTACGTGACTTTACCGAAAGAACCAAAGAAGATGAATCCTTGCAGTCACGAAAGCTTTAAATCGAAATTGCTCATAGACTTCAGACTAACATTGCCCATAGACTAACATTGCTCATAGACTACAGACTAACATTGCCCATTGATTAACATTGCTCATAGACTTCAGACTAACAATGCCCATTGATTAACATTGCTCATAGACTTCAGACTAACATTGCCCATAGACTAACATTGCTCATAGACTTCAGACTAACATTGCCCCTTGATTAACATTGCTCATAGACTTCAGATTAACCTTGCCCATTGATTAACATTGCTCATAGACTACAGATTAACCTTGCCCAGACTAACATTGCTCATTGACTTCAGACTAACATTGCCCATTGATTAACATTGCTCATAGACTTCAGACTAACATTGCCCATAGACTAACATTGCTCATAGACTTCAGATTAACCTTGCCCATAGACTAACATTGCTCATAGACTTCAGATTAACCTTGCCCATAGACTAACATTGCTCATAGACTTCAGACTAACATTGCCCATTGATTAACATTGCTCATAGACTTCAGACTAACATTGCCCATTGATTAACATTGCTCATAGACTTCAGACTAACAATGCCCATTGATTAACATTGCTCATAGACTTCAGACTAACATTGCCCATAGACTAACAGTGCTCATAGACTTCAGACTAACATTGCCCATTGATTAACATTGCTCATAGACTTCAGACTAACAATGCCCTTTGATTAACATTGCTCATAGACTTCAGACTAACATTGCCCATAGACTAACATTGCTCATAGACTACAGATTAACCTTGCCCATTGATTAACATTGCTCATAGACTTCAGACTAACATTGCCCATTGATTAACATTGCTCATAGACTTCAGACTAACATTGCCCATTGATTAACATTGCTCATAGACTTCAGACTAACATTGCCCATACATTAACATTGCTCATAGACTTCAGACTAACATTGCCCATTGATTAACATTGCTCATAGACTTCAGACTAACATTGCCCATTGATTAACATTGCTCATAGACTTCAGACTAACATTGCCCATTGATTAACATTGCTCATAGACTTCAGACTAACATTGCCCATAGACTAACATTGCCCATAGACTAACATTGCCCATAGACTAACATTGCCCATACATTAGCATTGCTCATAGACTTCAGACTAACATTGCCCATAGACTAACATTGCCCATAGACTAACATTGCCCATAGACTAACATTGCCCATAGATCTTCTTTGGTTCTTTCGGTAAAGTCACGTAGAATGAGAATAAAATAAATAATAAAATAACACGATAAAATGCTCACGACGTTTCGGCCACAACGCAAGCGGCCTTCTTCAGGTGAAAGGAACAGACCTGTCGGGACGACAGAGCTTCAATGAACGCTGTTAAGATTCGTAGCGACTTTTAAGCTGATTAACATTGTGTTATTTTATAAATTTATTATTTTATTCTCATTCTACGTGACTTTACCGAAAGAACCAAAGAAGATGAATCCTTGCAGTCACGAAAGCTTTAAATCGAAATTGCTCATAGACTTCAGACTAACATTGCCCATAGACTTCAGACTAACATTGCCCATAGACTTCAGACTAACATTGCCCATAGACTTCAGATCAACATTGCCCATAGACTAACATTGCTCATAGACTACAGATTAACAATGCCCATTAATTAACATTGCTCATAGACTTCAGACTAACATTGCCCATTGATTAACATTGCTCAGACTTCAGACTAACATTGCCCATAGACTAGCATTGCTCATAGACTTCAGACTAACATTGCCCATTGATTAACATTGCTCATAGACTACAGATTAACCTTGACCATAGACTAACATTGCCCATAGACTAACATTGCTCATAGACTACAGACTAACATTGCCCATAGAGTAACATTGCTCATAGACTATAGACTAACATTGCCCATTGATTAACATTGCTCATAGACTTCAGACTAACATTGCCCATACATTAACATTGCTCAGACTTCAGACTAACATTGCCCATACATTAGCATTGCTCATAGACTTCAGACTAACATTGCCCATAGACTAACATTGCTCATAAACTTCAGACTAACATTGCCCATTGATTAACATTGCTCATAGACTTCAGACTAACATTGCCCATTGATTAACATTGCTCATAGACTTCAGACTAACATTGCCCATAGACTAACATTGCTCATAGACTTCAAACTAACATTGCCCATTGATTAACATTGCTCATAGACTTCAGACTAACATTGCCCATACATTAACATTGTCACCGTATACGCAGACCATAGACCAGAATTGTCGCCTCTGCACATTCGTCACGTTAGCATCCCAGCAATATCAATCAGTGCAACAACAACAACAGCAACAACAAAATCACAACCGCGGGAGGTAAATTTTCAAATAAAAATTTGACACAACCGCCACGCGCAAATTCCCCTCAAAATTAACTTTCGTTATTACTGCTCAAAAAAATAATAATAATAACAACGCGTAACAAATCAAACCCCCACCACCACCACCGCCCCCCACCACCACTCCTCTAGGCCCCCCACAAATAAAATAAAATACTCGTGGTTTCACCTGTTTATTAATCTGCGACTTTGGATCCACGGAGATCGCGGGAAAAAAATAATAATTTCTTTCCCACCCAGCCGGCGCTTCTTTCTGCTTCTGCTGCTTCTGGCGGGAGCGGAGGCGGCAACGAAAAAGAAATCTGCGAAGTGCGGCCGGTGGTGGTGGTGGTGGTAAAGAGGGAGGGAGGGGGGGCGTGTATCAATGCGCGCGGCACGTGACGTCACGTCCCCCCCCAAACCGCCACACTACCGCCGCCGTCGCCGATTGGCCCGAGCAATCACCGCGGCGTGCTCCGATTGGGCGGCAAAGGGGGCGCGCGGCGGCGGCGCTGCGGCATTTCCAGGGTCGTGCGCCAGCGTCGTGTTGCCGACCAGGGTGCATCGCGCGAGGGGTTTTGCGTGTGTGCGCGCGCGGAGGGGGCGGGGCGGGGGCGGTGTTGGGGGCGGGGCGCGCGCACGCGCGCGCGCGCGGACGCTGTTTTGGCGGGAAATTTGAAGCAAACAAAAATGGCGCTGCAAAGCCGTGGTCCGATCCACTGCTGGATGATTAACGTCAGCCCATGACCGTTACACTGTGATACAAAAACATTCTTGGGTCGTCCATAAATGACGTCACGCAATTTTTGACCGCCCCCCCCCACCTTCGTCACACGACGTCACAAAGAGTCAGACACACCCCCCACTCAAATGACGTCACAAAGCTCTGCCCCCCACTCCCCCCCCAAAAAAAATAAAATAAAAAACATGCTTCAACTATTGTCATTGTAGTGCGTATTTAATGTGGCGCTGCACTCTGATTTTGAAGGAGAAAACATTTATTTAAAAAGTCTATTCAATTAAGTAGAACGTGTTGTCTTTATTTATTTATAAAGTTGCGCATTTTTATGTGACGTCACATTTCTGAACCCTGTGGGAGCCTTAGTCTGGTTCTGTGAGCCTCGGTGATTAACACTGAACCCTGTGGGAGTCTTAGTCTGGCTCTGTGAGCCTCGGTGATTAACACTGAACCCTGTGGGAGTCTTAGTCTGGCTCTGTGAGCCTCAGTGATTGACACTGAACCCTGTGGGAGTCTTAGTCTGGCTCTGTGAGCCTCAGTGATTAACACTGAACCCTATGGGAGCCTTAGTCTGGCTCTGTGAGCCTCAGTGATTGACACTGAACCCTGTGGGAGTCTTAGTCTGGCTCTGTGAGCCTCAGTGATTAACACTGAACCCTATGGGAGTCTTAGTCTGGCTCTGTGAGCCTCAGTGATTAACACTGAACCCTGTGGGAGCCTCAGTCTGGCTCTGTGAGCCTCAGCGATTAACACTGAACCCTGTGGGAGCCTTAGTCTGGCTCTGTGAGCCTCAGTGATTAACACTGAACCCTGTGGGAGCCTTACTCTGGCTCTGTGAGCCTCAGCGATTAACACTGAACCCTGTGGGAGCCTTAGCCTGACTCTGTGAGCCTCAGTGATTAACACTGAACCCTGTGGGAGCCTTAGTCTGGCTCTGTGAGCCTCAGCGATTAACACTGAACCCTGTGGAAGCCTTAGTCTGGCTCTGTGAGTCTCAGTGATTAACACTGAACCCTATGGGAGCCTTAGTCTGGCTCTGTGAGTCTCAGTGATTAACACTGAACCCTATGGGAGCCTTAGTCTGGCTCTGTGAGCCTCAGCGATTAACATTGAACCCTGTGGGAGCCTTAGTCTGGCTCTGTGAGCCTCAGTGATTAACACTGAACCCTGTGGGAGCCTTAGTCTGGCTCTGTGAGCCTCAGCGATTAACACTGAACCCTGTGGGAGCCTTAGTCTGGCTCTGTGAGCCTCAGCGATTAACACTGAACCCTATGGGACATAGCCTTAGTCTGGCTCTGTGAGCCTCAGCGATTAACACTGAACCCTGTGGGAGCCTTAGTCTGGCTCTGTGAGCCTCAGTGATTAACACTGAACCCTATGGGAGCCTTAGCCTGACTCTGTGAGCCTCAGTGATTAACACTGAACCCTGTGGGAGCCTTAGTCTGGCTCTGTGAGTCTAAATGATCAACACTGAACCCTATGGGAGCCTTAGTCTGGCTCTGTGAGTCTCAGCGATTAACACTGAACCCTGTGGGAGCCTTAGTCTGGCTCTGTGAGTCTCAGCGATTAACACTGAACCCTATGGGAGCCTTAGTCTGGCTCTGTGAGTCTCAGCGATTAACACTGAACCCTATGGGAGCCTTAGTCTGGCTCTGTGAGTCTCAGAGATTCAAAACTGAACCCTATGGGAGCCTTAGTCTGGCTCTGTGAGCCTCAGCGATTAACACTGAACCCTGTGGGAGCCTTAGTCTGGCTCTGTGAGCCTCAGTGATTAACACTGAACCCTATGGGAGCCTTAGTCTGGCTCTGTGAGTCTCAGTGATTAACACTGAATCCTATGGGAGCCTTAGTCTGGCTCTGTGAGCCTCAGTGATTAACACTGAACCCTATGGGAGCCTTAGTCTGGCTCTGTGAGTCTCAGTGATTAACACTGAACCCTATGGGAGACTTAGTCTGGCTCTGTGAGTCTAAATGATCAACACTGAACCCTATGGGAGCCTTAGTCTGGCTCTGTGAGTCTCAGCGATTAACACTGAACCCTATGGGAGCCTTAGTCTGGCTCTGTGAGTCTCAGCGATTAACACTGAACCCTATGGGAGCCTTAGTCTGGCTCTGTGAGTCTCAGCAATTAACACTGAACCCTATGGGAGCCTTAGTCTGGCTCTGTGAGTCTCAGCGATTCAAAACTGAATCCTATGGGAGCCTTAGTCTGGCTCTGTGAGCCTCAGCGATTAACACTGAACCCTGTGGGAGCCTTAGTCTGGCTCTGTGAGCCTCAGTGATTAACACTGAACCCTATGGGAGCCTTAGTCTGGCTCTGTGAGTCTCAGTGATTAACACTGAACCCTGTGGGAGCCTTAGTCTGGCTCTGTGAGTCTCAGTGATTCAAAATTGAACCCTATGGGAGCCTTAGTCTGGCTCTGTGAGTCTCAGTGATTAACACTGATCCCTATGGGAGCCTTAGTCTGGCTCTGTGAGTCTCAGCGGTTAACACTTAATCCTATAGGAGCATTAGCCTGGCTCTGTGAGCCTCAGTGATTAACACTGCAGCCTGTGGGAGCATTAGTCTGGCTCCTTAAGCCTCAGCGATTAACACTGAACCCTATGGGACGTAGCCTTAGTCTGGCTCTGCGAGTCTCAGTGATTAACACTGAACCCTATGGGAGCCTTACTAGGGTTCTGTGTGCCTCAGCAATTAACACTGAAACCTATGGGAGCCTTGGTCTGGCTCTGTGAGCCTCAGCGATTAACACCGAACCCTCTGGGAGGGAGCCTTAGTCTGGCTCTGTGAGCCTCAGTGATTAACACTGAACCCTGTGGGAGCCTCAGTCTGGCTCAGTGAGCCTCAGTGATTAACACTGAACCCTGTGAGAGCCTCAGTCTGGCTCAGTGAGCCTGAGTGATTAACACTGAACCCTGTGGGAGCCTTAGTCTGGCTCTGTGAGTCTCACTGATTCAACACTGAACCCTGTGGGAGCCTCAGTCTGGCTCAGTGAGTCTCAGTGATTAACACTGAACCCTGTGGGAGCCTCAGTCTGGCTCAATGAGCCTCAGTGATTAACACTGAACCCTGTGGGAGCCTTAGTCTGCCTCTGTGAGCCTCAGTGATTAACACTGAACCCTGTGAGAGCCTCAGTCTGGCTCTGTGAGCCTCAGTGATTAACACTGAACCCTGTGGGAGCCTCAGTCTGGCTCAGTGAGCCTCAGTGATTAACACTGAACCCAGTGGGAGCCTTAGTCTGGCTCTGTGAGCCTCAGTGATTAACACTGAACCCTGTGGGAGCATCAGTCTGGCTCTGTGAGCCTCAGTGATTAACACTAAACCCTGTGGGAGCCTTAGTCTGGCTCTGTGAGCCTCAGTGATTAACACTGAACCCTGTGGGAGCCTCAGTCTGGCTCAGTGAGTCTCAGTGATTAACACTGAACCCTGTGGGAGCCTCAGTCTGGCTCAGTGAGAAGCGCGTTCCTCCAATGACTCAGCTGCTATTGCCACGTTGCTAGGCGACCGCGAAACTTCCAGAACTGTTCACACATCCGGGCCTGGTGTCGTGCGTACGTTTAGGTAGACTCGGCCCTAAATCACTTGCCCGGTGCCGTGGGAGGGCGTGAAATAAACCAGCAGACTCACACATAGACTCACTCACACACAGACCCCATAGACTTACTCACACAGAGACCCATAGACTCACTCACACAGAGACCCATAGACTCGCTCACACAGAGACCCATAGACTCACAGAGAAACCCATAGACTCACTCACACAGAGACCCAGACTCACTCATACAGAAACCCACATACTCACCATACACAGAGACCCATAGACTCACTCACACAGAGACCCATAGACTCACTCACACAGAGACCCATAGACTCACACAGAGACCCACATACTCACCACACACAGACACCCATAGACTCACTCACACAGAGACCCATAGACTCACTCACACAGAGACCCATATACTCACTCACACAGAGACCCATAGACTCGCCACACAGGGACCCATAGACTCACTCACAGAGATCCATAGACTCACTCATACATAGAGACCCATAGACTCACTCACACAGAGACCCATAGACGCACTCACACAGAGACCCATAGACTCACCACACACAGAGACCCATAGACTCACTCCCACAGAGACCCATAGACTCACGCACACAGAGACCCACAGACTCACCACCACACAGAGACCCATAGACTCACTCACACAGAGACCCATCGACTCACTCACACACAGACCCACAGACTACTCACACAGAGACCCATAGACTCAATCAGAGACCCATAGACTCACTCATACATAGAGACCCATAGACTCACTCGCACAGAGATCCATAGACTTACTCATACATAGAGACCCATAGACTCACTCACACAGAGACCCACAGACTCACCACACACAGAGACCCATAGACTCACTCACACACACAGAGACCCAAAGACTAACTCACACAGAGACCCATAGACTCACTCACACAGAGACCCACAGACTCACCACACACAGAGACCCATAGACTCAACACACACACAGACCCATAGTCTCACTCAAACAGAGACCCATAGACTCACTCATACATAGAGACCCATAGACTCACTCGCACAGAGACCCATAGA